AGACCCTTACCTTCTGCCTTATGAATGCTAGCATTTCTTTGAAAAATCTGCTTTTACAAGCTTAATCATGGGCTTGCCTGTCTCCTCCTGTCATGTTGATGTTTTAATTAAAATGCTCCTTGACCTCCCAGGTTTCCTTGAAATAGTTGTGTGCCGTGGTCTTGGTTATAGGATGAGTAACAGCGTTGCTTCCCCATCCCATGCAATATTAATAAAATAGATTGGATAATACTTTCCTATAGTACTGAAAAAGACCAGGCAAGCAAATACTGCAGTAATTATCTTTTGTTGGGTGCCGTTGTGTGCCATAGAAACCAGTGAACCATGTTCAAACATTTTACTCTCACAGAAACCCCAGGAGCTAGGTATTTTTGTGGTTCTTAGTTTAGGATGTGGCTAAGACATAAATAAACTCTGGTTCATATCTGAGCTCCTCAGCTGTGGAATGTATAGCAAGTTAATTAACCTCACTGAGCCTCAGTACGCTCATCTGTTAAATGGAGATAATATGTCTACTTATTAAGATTTTCAGAATTAAATGAGCTAATGTATGCAAAGTAACTCAATGTCGAGCACCTACCGTATACTCAATAAATGTTAACTATTTTTATTATAAATGAGTAGACAGATTGAAAAAGTGGTGAAGTGACTTAGCCAAGACCCTACATCTGGTAAAAATAGAATCAGGAAAGGAACTCCAGTCTTTGGATTTATAGCTTCTCCTCTTTCCTTGTAGTTAATGAATTCGAACCCAGGTCTCATGACTGTCACTCCTGTGCTCTTTGCTAGAGGATCTTTACCCCCTGACCCAGCTGCCCTTGCATTTCAGCTAGAGGCAAGTGTAAGATGTAGGCTCCTAATTGGGATCCGCTTGCCCATTTACGTGCCATTAAGTGCTAGAGTCCTCATGGAAAAAGTCAAAGCAAAGACCTCAGAGGAAAAGTGAATCATTCACTTTAGTAGACTCATTTCTGGAAAAGCAATACAGCTTAAATTAAACAACAACAACAACAAGCTTCCCACTTTCCCATTATGACTGGTCATCGAGCCTGGCTGGCTCCATCCAGAATCTGCTTCTGATCAGAGGGTGTGAGTGACAGTCAGGGACTCAGAGCTGGAAATCTAATCATCCCCGCTATGTGCTGCCCGTGCCTTCTCTGCCGAATGTCAGGTTTGTTTAAAACAAGAGAAGCCTTGACTGATTGGATGCCCTTGCTTCAGTTTGAATGTTCCCACAACAAAGGAATGGAGTGCCGGTGGTGGAGTTCAGTGGTGCAAATCATCAGAAGTTATAGAGAAAGCAGACACCTTTCTATGGCAGGAGATAGGGAAAAATCTAGTCATGTTGACCTCTTTTTCAGATGTATCTCAGATTCTGGAATTATAGCATAACAGGAATTCCTTCCAAATCCACAAAGCAGTGGTTCCTCCCTGCCTTGTAAAGGTTTAATGACTCTAGCAGTAGTGAGATTAGGAGCAAATAGTAAAATATCATCTCCTATCTAGCCTGCTCTCATTTTGCCTTGCACTACTCTGTAAAGAATATCATGGGCAAAGATTTTAATATGGCAAAAATGCTCAGTATTCATTTTAAATATATATGGGATCAGAGCTTGCCTTGGCCAAGCCCTGAAGGGGGTTTTCATAGATTCTTAATATCTAGGAGTTGATGGGTGGGTAAGTTATGGGTGAATCCCTTTTGCCCTCCAGCCATAAAAAAATGCTATTTTTCCTCTCAGATCCCATTGAATCTAATCCTCTGTAATACTATTCTTAACTGGAGAAAAAAACTCCGATTTTGGCATCACCTAACTTAGGTTCATGTCCCAACTTCTGTGCTTATTCATTCTGTTACTTGCCTTTAAACCTCATGCAAAGCCATTGGCTCCCTTGG